TCAGAAAATGTGAGTTTGATTATGGGTTTCGCAAAGAATGTAGAGAGAGAGAGGGGAAGGGGGAAGGGACTGTTTGTTTGGAGCTATTTAAAAACAAATTAAGGGTGATTTATTTAGTTGATCTTCCTACAACAAAAAAATTAAACTCGCACTCAAAAAAAATTATTTAACATTTTATTTGTTGTGTAATATATTTATTTAGTTGTACCATTCAAATGTAATATATTTGTTGTGTGATTTGGTTTTAATTTCATCTTTATAAAATTGAAGTCAGTTAATAAAGAGAAAAGTTCAAATTTAGACCATTTTATTGTGCTCCAGTTTTAATTTATCACTTTAATGTTACTGTTAAAAAAACATCTATTCTAAATGCTGGTTTGACTAAGAAAATGTGAGTTTGATTATGGGTTTCGCAAAGAATGTAGAGAGAGAGAGGGGAAGGGGGAAGGGACTGTTTGTTTGGAGCTATTTAAAAAGAAAGTAAGGGTGATTTATTTAGTTGATCTTCCTCCAACAAAAAAATTAAACTAATACTCAGAAAAATTTATTTAACATTTTATTTGCTGTGTAATATATTTATTTAGTTGTACCATTCAAATGTAATATTTATTTGTTGTGTGATTCTAATGTACAGATGATAAATATTTTTCATTTAATTTTTTTGTGAATATCTAGAGTTCCTAATTAAAAGAAAAATTTGAAAGACTTGGCATTTTAACATTTATGTGTAATATGGCAAGAGAGTTTTTTTTTTTTTTTTTTTTTTTTTGCACCTTTTTAAGGGAATATAATATTCTATGTTGTATTTCAAAAATTCTGGTCAATCCTTATGTGTGTATGTGTATTACTTTAGTTGTCTTCATGAAAAAAAAATGTGTTAAACTTACAAGTATTTAACTTAATGCAAGTATTTAACATAATTCGTTTTGTTTTGAATCAAATTCACCGAGTATTTAACTTAATCCAAAAAACTGTATTTAACATTTTGTTACAAAAAAAAATTTAAAAAAAATTGTACCATTTTAAACAGAGAAGACACGTGCCTCTGGTATCTGTTAACCTTTTTCTTTTTCTTAGAAGTTTATATTTTTATTTATTTCTTTTCCTCTTGATTGTAACCCCTTAAGTATTTTCTATTCATGGCAGTTATTTATTTAAATAAAATTTTGAATTTTATTATTCAATTTGGTAGCAACATATTTGGAAATAACATTTCAGTGTCAATGAAATCCATGTTAACTTTTATTATTGCTAATTTTTTATTTCTTTGTGTCTAAAATTATATAACCAAACATTTTTAGGTTGAAGTACAACAGTTATGAACAATATCACTATTTTTGGTCAAGTAAGTTTTTTTTCTTCTTGTTTTCTCGTCATATAAATTTAAGTACCTCTCGTATAAATTTAAGTACAACAGCTATGGATAATATCGCTATTCTAATTATTTTTTTTCCTCATACTTTATACGTGGATGGGGACTTACACCGAACCGTAATATCACCGCCCTTTACTAATTTTCTTATTTATGTGTATAAAGTTTTATTTATCACTCTAAAGTTTTTATATGTATAGGTTCGATTTCTTCAAAAAATAAATGTTAATGTTGTTATTCGCGATGAGCGTGACCTTAATATTATTCGCATTCATGAGGTAAGCCTAAAAGTCACTTGAACATTAGACATGTATTTTCTTATCATTTTAAAAATAATTTATAAATATATTCTACTTAGTTTTTTACAGGCAAAGGCAAAGCAATATCAAAGGAAACAAAAAAAGCTATTTCTTATGGCAAAGGAAAGGAAAATGTGCATCCCATAGTATGGCTTCTCAACAATTTTGAAAGTTTCTTTTTCGAATATTATATAGATTTTTTTAGGAATTGCATAGTGTCATATACTATTTTTTATGTGCATTTTTCAAAAGTTCCTTTTTCAAAAATTTATTCAATTCTTTTTATTGAATGTGAAATGTTTTTCTGAAGCATGTTAAAGCAAGCATTTGTACAACATTCTAATGCATTTGTATGAACATTAATTTGAATTTTTAATATGTTTGTCTATTTGTATGATAAAAATATGTTGCATTTGTACAATATGTTGCATCTACAACATAGAAGAAAGAACAAATATGAGATGAAAAGTAAACTACATAATATAATTTTTTTTTAATTTTTATTTTTCTTATAAGAAGTTCATAAGGAAATAAGAAAAAGACAAAAATGCATTTTAATATAACAGAAACAACAAGAAGAGAGAAAAGGAAAGTACAAGACATTGCACGCTAATATTCACATTTTACGTACCCAATGATGTAATATTTACCTTTTCAACGTACATTTTGTAAAGAGATGGGTAGTGTCTTAA